AATAAATGGAAGTCAGCTGTGTAATACATACACATGCAAGTATATGCACACTAAACAACGATATGAACAATTCCCTGCTGCTTGCATATTTACCTAGTCCTGATAGGGAACACTTCTTGGGGGGAGGGAAAAGGTGTCAAACAACTTGGGCTTTTGATATTTCTCCTCAATGCACACAATGTGACCCCAACCACAGTCTTTATGTGGGAGGACACAAATTCACTAATTTATACATGAGGCATTTTTCAAGCATGACTTCCCAACAGAAATAGGTATTTTCTCCTACTTCCATCTTCTAAATGATAAGAAGGCAGATGACATCAATACAGAGGCTTTGTTGCAGAACTCACAGACTTTGTGCCAGTAAAAAAGGTGGACTTTCCTACATCTTCTTTCCCCTAGAGTTACTTAACAACTATCCTTCCCTCATCCCTTATGAGACAGACAACTCATATTTGGTTAATGTATCTCTAAAAGGCCATAAAAAAGTGTCCTACTTTAAGCTAATTTAATTCAAAATTGCCACTCAACTTCTACTGGTGTGCTTATTTGCAGTACTTGACTAATTGACACAACTTTATAGGGCTTAGAAAATATATTTTAAACTATCTCCCTGGAGAAGAGGAATTAAAATTAAATGAAAAGAAAGCAAAAATATGATGTCAATTCCCATTTCCACAAGACTACTCATTTAAGAAGTTAAACTGTGTAACACCATCATTGACAAGAAAACCCCATGTCTTGTAGACCCAGCCCTGTTAAAATAAAATAAAATGAAATTAATCCAATCAGTAAAGGTGGTGTTTTCATCTAACACCCTGAAGTACCCACCTAACTCATCCTCTCTCCCTTCCCACGCAATTCCCCAGTCAGTAATCAAGAGGAGAAATAAAAAACCTTGAATTCTTAAGGTTGTAAGGGAAAGTGTTTGGTTTTCTTATAGGGAACAAAAGCCATCTGTAGACCTACCACAGAAACACCAGGATACTGAAGTAGAAGTTTTCTTCTGTTGTCTGGATAACACAAGTGTCCTTTTACAGTAATTTTATTTAGGAAACAATAATGATTCAACATCATAGAGATACCTAATACATGTACTGGCAAAAAACAGAACAAGGAGAGGACACCTAGTGGTAGTCTGTGATGCTCAGGGTCGGTAGCATGGAAGCAACATATGAAATTTTTAATGCAGGACCTGATTTTGCAAAGCTCTTACACACTTAATTTTTAAGCACTTTAGTAAGACTCAGCATTCCTGCAAGCTTGTATTTATGAGCTTTTGCGAATCAGCATCACTCCGATTATCAGAAATAAAATACCAAAACCAAAATATGTCAGTGTGATATGCTCAGAAACATGTTTAATTAAGCACCAGTGCTTCAGCAACAGCTAGAGTGAATGTCGACACTTATGTAGGTTTATGAGACTCAAAAAGGTTTGGCAAATTGAAAACCAGATTTCAAAACAAGTTAAACCAAATAAGGACATGGCTGCAATTTACAACTTTTTTGCATATTTTACTATATGATTTTTTGCAAAACATAACCTTTATTGCCCATGTTGCAATAAGCATTAATTCACTTTAAAAATTGTTCTAATTCTACATAATCAAATATCTGAGAACAAGAAAGACTTAGAGCACATTTTTAGAAGAACCAATTCTATTTACTCATACATTTACTAAGTCTTGTCCTGTGATCAGAATATCTGTAAGCAGAACTACTGAAGTCAGAGTTTTAAGCAGCTTTTGGAAAATATTTTTATTTCAAATAATCAGTAAATTAATATCATTGACAAATGTAAAGTAAAGTGGCATATCATTTGACATGTAATGATGTATTTATTTGTAATTGTTTATATCTTTTATTTTTAATTGTTCATTGATCTATGAGCATATTTAGCTAAGAATAACTTACTAGTTGCATGTAAACCTATGTTAAACATTCAAGCAGTTTAGTCAGTCTCATAAAACTTAAAGTAAATAACAATTAGGTCCTGTACCTCCTGTTCAGTATTTTTAGGAACCTAAGTTAAAAAAAAAATCAAAAGCAAACCCCCGTCACAAATTACTGCAAAAGTATAATTTCTGTAATCATCAATTTAAATATTTTTCTTCTTGCATGTTATTACATATAATTTAGCTTAAGTAAGTATGTGATCTATATGTCAACACCTAAGTTCAAAGGACTGGAATATTAGACATTGTAGCTCAAAAGCAGTTTTAGGAAAGTGTGCATTTGCAAATTCAGTAAATTATTTCCTGGTAAGATATCTCCTGTCCCTTTCTTAAAGTCTTGCTTCCTATTTCCACTGAGCCATTCATTTGGATAAGCAATTAACATCAGACTGATATGAATATATCAATCAGATTTCATATATATTGCACCACAGGCTACAGCTGTTCCATCATAACACTTAATGCAGAGAAAGCTTCTGCAATGCATACATTATTTTCCTCAATATTACTCTATATGGCTGTTAGCAGCTTGATCTTGATTTAATTGATTTAAAAGATGTGGAAATAAATAAAGGAACAATGTTTCACCAGTGTCATACAAAAATCTTTTAAATTTTTAACTACTGATCCTAAAGTTCAGAATATTGACCTTGAAGCTGAAGTCTTACTGATACCTAAAGGAAAAGCTCAAACAATGTCAACGTCCCTTTTCTCTTTGAGGATATAGAAATACCTCAGTGGGATAGCTGCCTTATGGTACAACTTGATTTGTTCATCGATCAGTTTTCCATGAAGTATCCTCTTGGCATGTTATGAAGAATGAGTTTGCTGACTGTCCTCTGAATATTTTAGACATAATGTTCACTATTTTTGATCCAAATACATATATTTCAGATTTATCTGCACCACATTTAAAACCAATATGTCAGCCCCTAAGCGAAAACTATTAAATCCTTTTAAAACTATTGCATCCTTTTAACCACATGCAAACAGGCTCCAGTTCTGTGTCATAAAAATTAGTTAACAGTTGCTCCTTGTTGTCCATGTCCAAACACGCACATATAGAGAACATGAATATCAGAAGCAAAGTCTCACTGACTACCCCTATAGGATCATCCATCCATTGTTTCCCAGTTCCGCAAAGGTCATCCTTACCCTGCTTTTTTGTTTGTTTGTTTGAAAATATTATTATAACACACATTTTCTCCAAAGCCATATATGACAATCCATGACCTCCTTCATTTCTGATCTCTGTAAAATGCTAAACAAAAATAGAAACAGACCAAAAAAAGCCCTTTTTTTTTTGCACACATTTCATTTATCAGAGCCTGATTCAGACTACATATTTATATCTGTTCCTGCATATGAGAATCCTTTGCAAAAGCACCCAACAACCTTCTCGCTGCTCTACTGCATGCTCAAAAAAACCCCAACCAAACAAAACAACCTTCCTGAGGACATATTTCACAAATTTTACTCATGGAATCAAAGGTGAAGTTGCAACCAAGCAGCATTAGCTAAAGATTAAATGGACCAAACGCCAACTATTGCTGGTTTGGACCACATCCACTGGTCACTTCTAGTCCCACTTAGTGGCCTATTCAACTATTTTTATTTAGAATACCTGATTTCTCTTTGACAATATACAGAAGGGAGGAAAAAAGGAATTCATTTCTCTGCCTAGCAGGCATTTATAGTGGCAAGCTCATAATTTGAGCTGCCAGAAAATAATGTCATTGAATGCATTTCAGAAGGTTGTCTCTTTGTAAAGCACAGAGGAGACAAAAGCACAGCTTTATGGTAGAAATGCAAAATATGCTTAATCATTTGCCTTAGTTAAACAGCACAAAACTATAGTGCTCTATTTCTGTGCAAAAAAACTATTACACTGCTTTACAGAGAGGCAAAAAGAAGTAGAATTTACAAAATAAAAAATAATTATCTATTTCAAAGGTTATTTTAAGAAACAACTATAAATTTATTTATATAGACTTTTGATACTTAGGATCATCCAGCATCATATCACTTTAAAACATAATCTGACTTTATTTATGAGATGGAGCTGCATTTAGGTTTCTGTTAAGCCAGAAAGTGCATACAATACTGGAGATTAGCAGCAGAAAAAGCACCAGAAATGGTACCAAATCTTCCCTCAATATTAATTTAATTAAATAAATCTCGATCAAATTGATTTATGGAAATCAATTTTAATTGATTCCATGATAATGCTCTACAAAATAATTCTCATTATGTTTACTTCAAGAAAGGTTTAGAAAACAGCAATGTTTTTTCCTATGGTTTTAACACTTCTGTTTAAAACATTGTGATATTTAGAATTACAGAAATGAGGACAGGCAAGTAACAAAATGACTGAATCGTGGTGGTATGTGCCAAAGCGTTAGATACTTCCTAGCCATGAGTATGCCAAATTAGGGAATGCCATAATTTCCTGGAAAAGGCAGCATGCCAAACTGGCAGGCAGCATAACATCATATCTGGAAACAGTGGAGTTGGCAGTTCAGAAGGCAATGACTCAAAATTTGGACTACCCATTTTTCATAAAGAAGGCCAGTATTTGATATATTCAGACTACATACAGCCTTCAAACAAGGAGAATTCTAGGAAATCTACTCAATAGTAAATTATTTCAATTTCTCCTATAATAGAAAAATATGAACACGTATTTTAAATTCTCTTGACTACAAGAGTATTAACTTAGTAAGTTTAAGTGCTAGTCACGAAAATCCAATGAAGATTTAGGTGTTTGTTGAAATTCCCAGTATTCTTACTAGGAGTTCATCCATGCTAATTGTGTTGACAGTCCCAAACATATTTTGGCCACTGTGATTAGCAGGGAGATGATGGTTAATCTAAGCCATTTTTTTCTAAAAAGGCCTTTTCACTAGCACCTGTTTGTAATTACACCAACTGGTGAGTAAAAACTCTATTACGTTCTTGTTCTTGTGTACCTCTTCAGAGAGATCTGACTAGTGTTCTGTAGAAATAAGTTCTTAGTGAATGATGTTAGAACCATAAATCTTACCTCTTCCCACTGGTGTATGTATCTAATCAGTCTTGAAAGGCGCAATAAACGCAACAGGCTGAGGATTTTTGTAAATCTCACAATACGAAGTGCTCTTGCTGTCTTGTAAACCTCTGAATCCATTCCTTTTTCTACAATGAGAAAGATATAATCCACTGGTATTGATGAGATGAAGTCAACCACAAACCAGCTTTTTAAGTAATTCATCTTAATGATTTTAGGGTCCAGTATGATTTCAGAGCTGTCTTCATTTACAGTCCCAGTTCTAAAATTCATGATCAAGTCCAATAGAAAAACAGTGTCTGATGCCACATTGAAAATAATCCATGGTGTTGTTGTTTGTTCCGTGAAGAATGTGATTCCAACAGGTATAATGACAAGGTTTCCAACCATCATTATGAGCATGATTAAGTCCCAGTAAAACCTAAAAAAAGGGAAGAAACAGAATGGTTGATGTAATGTGGTAAAACACATCTATAAAAATGGTCTCTATCGTGCCATCAACTTCACCTCCAGATTTTGTTAATGCTAAGAAAGTTCTCATTGTTTTAACCTGTTCAATATGTCAGTAAAGACAGTCAGTAAAGACAAAGTAACATATTTCATTAGGTGCCTTCCTTCTTAAGAATATGCATCTGGAATAAAGAGAGTACTATGGCTTATGACTCCATGGCATATCACACACTGAGAGGTGTGTATGTGTGACACTCAGTAGACTTATGCATACTCCTGTCAAAACCTCTTTGTGATGTTATATGGACAAAACTGATGTCTTATGCCAATCAGAAGCACTTTAGCAATGAAATAGTTTTTTTAAGATTTCTGTCCAAATGGAAAGCCAAATATCTAATAGATAATATATTAAATGTTAGTACCTCTTTGCAAATATACCATTACAGTGCTGGAATAAAATTACAGGAAGAGAAAAAAATAGAAACAATAATTAGATAACATCAAAACATTCATCCACTTTTTCAACCTTAATTGAACTTCCATGCATTTTTACAACCTCATAGTCTACCTTCTCTCAGAGCTAGCTTAGAAGTTTTAGTAAGAACAGTTGCAATTTGCATAGCATAAAATGCATACTGCATTTCACTATTTTGTTCCAGAAGTATCTAAAGGCTCCCCTTTAACTCTGTTAGAATGCTGCTAATTACACTTGATATAGATGGTAGAAAGCCAGACTCATAACTTTAAAATTTATTATAGAAACAGTGAGTAAACCCACTTCTTACACAGATTATCTATCCTGATGGAAGATTTCCAAGAGATGGTAGTATATACCCGATTTTAAGCAAGTTATGATAAATTCTAAATGTTAAATTGTCAAAGAAAGTTATTCAATAAAAGAACTGAAACTGGACTTGAGAAAGCCTAAACCCAATGCATAACCTCTTGTGGTGCCTGAGAACACGATCTGGTCAACTAAAATCGATCTGAAGAGGTACAGAAACAAACCAACAACAGTTGCCTCATTAGACTTTCTAGAAGAATAGAGGCAGCAATGGCTCCACGACTATCTCTGCTCTGCCCTTCCATTGCAACAGCACCTGGTGCAATGGACATGTGACGGACACACCACCAGCACATCACTTCAAGACTGACTTCCACGCCACTTCTATCATACTAACACCAACCTCCTGACATGTAACAAGGTTCATCTTGGTAAAGGTTTATGGCAATCAACAATAATGATAGTTTAGTTGGCCATTAAACGTTTCAGAATCGCGAGCCTAGTTTTGACAGACTTGCACAGAGCATATGGATTACATTAGATTTCAGAATTGCTTCTTGTATTCACCAGATGATCATAGAACCATAGAATGGTTTGGATTGGAAGGGACCTTAAACATCACCATACTCCTCTCACCCAGCCATGCACAGGGACATCTTCCACTAGACCAGGTTTTGCTCAGAGCTCCATCTGGCCTGCCTTGAACACCTCTAGGGATGGGGCAACCACAGCTTCGCTGGGAAATCTGTTCCAGTGCCTCACCACCCTCACAGCAAAGAACTTCCTCCTTATACCTAATCTAAATCTACTGTCTTCTAGTTTGAATCCATTCCTCCTCGTCCTACCCCTACTCACTTCCATAAAAAGTCCCTCTCAGTCTTTCTTGTAAGCTCCCTTCAGGTACTGGAAGGCCACAATTAGGTCATGCTGAAGCTAGGCTGAATAATCCCAAAGATCCAGGTTTATAAATTCCCTTTTTTCCATGTTAATCTGTGCAAATGCTTCTGAGTTTACAAATTGCTGATCTGAGAATATCAATAATTAAATGCAACAGTAATTAAATGCTAAAGGAAGAGTAACATAGGATTGAGAATGGCACAAGAATTCCCAGTTTTAAAACTGTTCATTCCAAGAGAAACCTAGAGAGATTAGGCTTAACTAGCATTTGAGAGAAGTGCTTGGCAAAGTACCTCTAACTGGTACTCAGAAACTGCATGAAATAGACTTTAAAAATAATTCCCTGTGTACCACAATGTGATTTGTGTCTTACACATTCTCAGTTTTGCAATAAATATGAATACTAAGTGCTAAAAATGTTTTTTTATTGAGGCTATATGTATTTTTGTTTAGCATATGATGGTATTCACCATATCTGGCTAAAATTTCCAAATTTCTTTTATCTTTTTAAATTCAAGTAACAACCTTCCCACTGTGCTAGATTCCTTTTCAGTAATCTGGAATTACCATACACAAGGAACCTCTAAATTCTTATATCACTGCTACTATGATTGACAGGTAGTTACCACAAATATTTTTACAATGCTATCAATCAAACTATTTCACAAAAGTGTCCTTGGAGAAAAAACATCTTCAAGGAATCTTGAAAATGGGTGGAAAACAAATAGGAAATAATCACAAGAGGTGTCCTGGTATCTGTGGCTGTCTCTGATGCAAAGCACTGCTAATTTCAGACTGACCTGTACCTTTCATCAGCACCAGGAGCAGTTACACAACAAAGGCCAACCAAAGCTGCACAACGACCAGCCACCCAGCCCACGAAAGAGATAATGCAGAACCAGGTGTTTTTAACCTACGGTAATCCGCGGTTTAAAGGATCATCTTGTACTGTGATTATGCAAAACACACATGAGTTCCTGATGTTGAATGTCAGCAAAAGTGGTAGCATTAGGGCTAAAATAATACTGAATGCTAAGGACTAAGAGATTGTACCACTTCTGTATTTTGATTTTATACCACAATATGGTGTAAGCTGATTAGTTACTAGGAAAAATCCGGATAATTTTTCATTTAGAAAAGCATCAGACATTTTCTTTTAGAAAAATGTTTCCAAGTGGCAAGAAGTTGGCCAGGTTATATTTCTTTTTCAGGTGAGAAAACTAGATGCAAACCCCTGTATTACCCTTCTTTGACCTGTGCAGAGAAAGTAATACAATGCGTTCCTTGCTTGCAGTTCAGAACATTCTATTATTCACATAACAAAGAGCAAGCTGTAAAGCTTCACAAGATAGTGCAAGGAGCTGCTGTTGAGACACAGAGATAGCCATTTGTTTCAAACTACTTTTAGCATTATTTATTTATTTTTGCTACCTCCCCCTAAAGAATGAGGGTTATGAATCTACAACTTACAGTCTCAAAGTTCCAAATTTACATAAGGTATTGGAAAATGTTGATGAAGAGTAAGAAAGAGGTAGCCTTATTACAAAAAAAATTACAAGAATGAGGATAAAAAAATGAGAGTCTGGGGGTAATAAGATCTTTCAAAGCTGAAAATGAGAAGCAAATACTGATTATGGCTCAGCTGAAGCTAACTCAGTGGATCTACAACTGGATGACATAAATAGAAGGTGCAGAGGTCAGCATTGCACTCCACTGAACTATTCCTGAAACTTTTTAAATGCTCCAAAATGGCTCAGAGGTATACTATCTCCAAATAAAAAAAAAGTCTTCAAGTATTAAAGTATAGAAACAAATTTTAAAGCACATTTTTTTCAGAGCTTTAGAAAATTATTTTATACAGAAATATTAAAAAAATCACATTAGTTATTACTTTAGAATTCTCAAAAAAACTACTTGGATTCATAGCCGTCTTTCATTGATCTTTTCGTTCAAAATTTATTTACTATATTTTCAAAATATACGGTAATAACAGTGTTTATTCAGCTCTTGAACACAGTACTGAAGTATTGGTACTTTATTCACTGACACAGGCTGTCCTGGATAGGATGAACAACCTATTCAAAATAAGTGTCTATCTAAGCAGCAATAAATAATTGTTTAGTAATAATTAATCACTGTTTGTATTAAGCTTAATAATGTAAGGCACTATGAATTCTAACAGGCATTTTATTTTCCACTTTATTTATCCAACCCAGAGAAAATTGAATCTTAAGGAAGGAAATTTCATCTCAAAGTTAATTCACTGCATAATTTGCCATACAAACAAATTCACATTTGCTTGCTTCATTATTTCCCATTGCTGCCCATCAACAGCAAAGTCTCAATTTCCATGAATCGGTGTTGTTTGAGATATGATTATTTTTATGGTACACACAGACTGAACCAGCAGAAGTTGTCAGTAGTCTCACAAACCACACAGCAGAGTGAATGGCAACTCTAAGGCATGGAGTGCCCTGACTTGAGGCTACAGAGCAGTCAGGACTTTTCTTTAGTTTAAGTTTTCTGAGTTTTGAGAAAGACTGTAAAAGTCTAATTTTTTATTAAAAAGAAGCAAATCATATCACTAAAACTTCATTAAATTCAGTCATAAATACTCATCAGCCACATTGTAAACTGGAAAATCTTTCAAAAAGATATTAATTCAGATTGCTTGTAAAATATCTTTGAAGCCAAACCTGATGCATCAGAGAGTAGGTTTTCTGATCTCACATTCACTCTGTACATTCAGAGAATGAAGAACTGTAAAAAAAATTTACAAGCTTTCCATAGAAAACTTGTTTCCTCTTTAGCTAAATATTTTGATTGACTAGCAGATGCTCAGTGAAATGAGCACTTTTTTTTTCTCACCTTCAAACAGAGCTTTATTTCTTTTGCTTTCATGGATCATTGGTTCACCTAACAGAGAAATCAGTGTCCTATATAGAACAAAACAATCTCAGTAGAAATAATGTTATTTAAAATTTTATTATACTATGCTGTAACAAACACCGAACTCAGTATTATTATGTAAGAATTTGATTCTCATAGGGCATGACATCTTTATCTGGTTGTGCAACTATATTCTTCTTCTAGTAAGAGGGAGTAAAGCTAGACGTGCCTGGAAACATCTGCAACATACAGATTATTACTAGGATGTGTTGGAAAGGTCAGAAGAATGAGTAAAGGACTGTTTTTTTCAGATGACCCAATTCTTTTAATGGTTGCACAGGTGTCCATGCTAGAAAACTTTCTCAAAAATCATCAATAATTTTTTTTACAACCTTAAAATT